ATTTGTGTTGTACTGTTAAAATAAAGAAGAAACGGGGTAATAAAAACATAACGCGCATATTATGTAACCATAAAAAATTGTTGTTATTATTTACATAAAATACAAAAAAAAAAATCAATGTGTCCCACAGCCTTTGTGCTTCAATGCAGCCGTTGGCCTGAGGCATATCCCCTCCCGCCTGGATACACTATCAGGATCATCCTCATCACGTCGCCTCTTTATATGAGAATGCGTTGCAGCATGATCGTCAGTAGGGCTGGCAAGATCGGTAGAAGGGGTCGTCTGTCCATCAGCAATCTACAAAACAATAAGTAAGCTCAGTATATGAAAATGTATATTAGTAATGTACGTGTTAAGTCAAAAATATTTTCTTACCATGGTCTCGTCGGGCTCCTGAATATAAGCATCCGTGGTGTCCTCAGCATCGCATAAAGAGGCCTCCGTGACGGGCTGGGATGAAGCCTTAATAAAAAAATTAAAAATTAATTTATGGCGAATCAATGAGAAAAAAAACAAATTCAAATTTAATAGTAATACAAACATACTTGCGCCTGTGATAGATCCACAGCACACGACAACGATGAACTAAAATTCAACCTGCACCCACCATCCACCTCTCGAGTCGGCGGATCCTCAGCTGCAGTCGATGGGCCTCGAAAGAACTGCTCCCAATCATGTCCGGTGAAGCTCGTGCCCGTAATCAACAATGGATGTGACGGGGTCACCTGCGATGCTGGCAGCTCCAACTGAAGGTTGTACAATGGCATGCTGCTGGGATGCTCGTCTGGCTGAGGAATGTCACCCGCCAGATCAGCTCCAACCTCCTCATCAGGTGCCTCAACAGGTGCCTCAACGCCCCCTTCCTGGGGACCACCTCCTCGACGTCCCCCACGACCCCGTGGGGCACCCCTGCCTCGTGGAACAGCCCTGCCTTGGTGGGCAGCCCTGGCTCGTGCCAGTCCCCTCGGGCGTGCGACAGGCCTACCCCGATGGTGGTGCTCTAGCGCCACATAATCAGGGTTGTGATCTAACCTCTCGCCCTGTCTGGCTCGCTGCAGTGTCCGGAGAGCCAGCTCTATCACCTGCCGGCCATACTCAGCGACCGTAGGATCGCCGGCATGCTGCTGCATCTGCAGTCCCAACTGGTAGAATAAATGATGACCAATAGCCTACACAACATTTAAAATATTAATTACAGAACGCTATATCACAGTTATAAGTAAGAATACCAAACAACATACCAGTGCCTCGTGCCTCCCGGTGTATGGTCTGTACCGACCGCCAGCTTGATGAACGGGGTTCCCGATAAAAAGTCGGATAACGCTGCGGTATCGGGACGTATAGAGATGAATAGTCATCGTCTGGATCTGTGAAGGTGGGGGCGGAATCAGATCAGCTCGCTGGTCCCAAGTATGGACCTGCGCCTCTAGCTATGCTACAAATGCGTCGTCCGCCCTCGAACGATCATCCCGCTATATAATGTGTAGCCTCCCATGTAGGCCCCCTCGGTATAGTCAGCGGACGGCCAAACTGGCGAAGTACCCACTCTGTGGCATGATGCTCCACAATATCGAGGCACATCAGCGGGACGGAAGTGCTCCAAATCAGTAGGTCGACCGAGCAATAATCAGGTAGGCCACCTATCAAGTCGTCGCTGTATGGCGTCCAGATGAACTATCAAATAAGGACATAAAAGTGAGTATGCGCAACACAAGTGAATATATACCAAGTAAGTTTAGGTACACATTTACCTGTGCGCCCTCCAGCATATCCAACACATCCCTGACAAGGCGGAGATTATGATGAGCATCAATGGCTCGGTAATTTCCACGCCGGAGAACCCACCTCCTAGCTAGAGGGAGAAACAGAGGTGCTACATCCGAAGGTAATGGTGGTAGAGGTGGCTGCAACTGCAGGAACCGCTCCCGGGCCCAAACCTAACATACAAGGTTGACGTAAAGTTTAAGATAAATTTTGACTAGCAGCTGAAGATGATGTAAAAATCGCAAACTCACTAGATTTTCGAAAGTGTTCGGGAACAAGACCCCCCCCCCCCCAAAAAAAGAAGGAGCAACACCAACCTCGTGTACCGGTGAATATGTAGATCATTTGTCTCGTTGGTGATGTCGGGGTGCAATATCTCCAAATGTTGTCTAATAGCTGTCAAACCCATGCGACTGGCCCCTGAATGTGCAGTCTCATCCTGTGGCCTGAAACCAGTGAGCTGCTGCAGCAAGTCCAAATACTGGGCACGCGACATATATCTCATACCCTAAGGCAGTGCAACGGCCAGTCCATCAGCAGGCAGCCTATATAAAACCTCAACATCCTGCAGCGTGATGGTAGCCTCGCCAATGGACAGGTGGAAAGTGTGTGTCTCCGGTCGCCACCGCTCTATCAAGGCCGTGATCAGAGACCAGTCGAGCTGCAGCCGCCCAATCTCAAAAATCCTATAGAAGCCGGTATCCCTCAGGCGCTGGACTACACGGGGATGGAAAGCTCTGTCCCTCATAAAGTCCCACAAGTCGTCCACTCTCCTGGCGCGGAGAATCTGGTCCAGTAGCTTTTCCTCCCATACGTAGGCGGACCTATGATCGCCCTGTAACACTAATAGCTCATCGGAGAAAGGTCCAGGATGCATAGGCGGCACGTCCATGTCGTCTACTGTAAATTAAACAATATTAATTGTGTATTTAGTTTTGTAAATTAAATAATTAGTTTTTAATTTGACAGAGTATATATCTATGGGTTCCAGGCTCGATATTTGAGGCCCAGTAGCACCAAGCTATCCTGAATTCTTATGTGTGTCAATTTCAATTTTTTCATAATTTTGTGTGTTTGATTTATAAATTAAATAATTAATTTTTAATTGGACAGAGTATATATCTATGGGTTCCAGGCTCGATATTTGAGGCCCAGTAGCACCAAGCTATCCTGAATACTTATGTGTGTTAATTTCAATTTTTTTCATAATTTTGTGTGTTTAATTTATAAATTAAATAATTAATTTTTAATTGGACAGAGTATATATCTATGGGTTCAAGGCTCGATATTTTAGCCCCAGCAGCACCAAGCTTTCCTGAATTCTTATGTCTGTCAATTTCAATATTTTTATAATTTTGTGTGTTTGTTTTGTAAATTAAATAATTAATTTTTAATTGGACAGCGTATATATCTATGGGTTCCAGGCTCGATATTTGAGGCTCAGAAGCACCAAGCTATCCTGAATTCTTATGTATGTCAATTTTAATATTTTCATAATTTTGTGTGTTTGTTTTGTAAATTAAATAATTAATTTTTAATTGGACAACGTATATATCTATGGGTTCCAGGCTCGATATTTGAGGCCCAGTAGCACCAACTATCCTGAATTCTTATGTGTGTCAATTTTAATATTATCATAATTTTGTGTTTTTTGTTTTATAAATCAAATAATTAATTTTTGTAAATTGTAATTGGACAGAGTTTGTGTTTGATTTATCAATATAGTAGATACTTAAACTACAAGGATTCTACGCTAAAAGGCTCTACATTTTACTACGCTAAAAGGGCACTAGTCTTTAAGCAAATAAATAATCTAAACTAAATAAAAATAATAAATATATTTTAATAACATAACATTCACAAAATTACATATAAAACAGTAAAAGAAATTTATGAACATTTTTATTTACAAAAAAGATGATTTCTCAACTTTTAAATATTTTTTTAAAACACTAATATCTTAATCCGGAAAAAAAATAACATACTAGTTTAATCGCAAACAAAATACAAAACAACATGGAAACACATTCAAGACAACTAATATGCATTATTATACGAGTTTCGACATAAACTAAATCCGAATACATCGATTTATGTTTTTAGAAAAGTCGATAAATTGAAAATTTGAGCCCGAAACGAGGAAACCACAACAATAGAAGGCTTGGGTCGGATGTGGACCTACAATCTTATCTTTTTGTGCGACGGGTGGGGTCCACTCGGATTTTTTTTGGAGAAAAGAAATAGAGGGGGGGGGGGGGGGTCTGTTTTCTTTGTTTTAAAAATGGGGGGAAGCTTTGTTTCTGTCGTGGGAAGAAGAAGAGCTTTTTAATGAAGAGGTATAGCGCGGTATTACACAGCACTATATATAACGCAGTATTACACCGCGCTATATTTTAACGGTTGAAACACCGTTAAAGTATAGCGCGGTGTAATACCGCGTTATATATAGAAAAGTAACTTCTTTTTTTTAGCAGTAGAAACGTATTTCAGTCCAAAAACCCAACATTTAGGTTTCGGACTCCTCGCAATAGATAGGTAAATGTTCCATAATGAGCTTCGCCGTTAGAAATTACATTACGATCGCCCTATCATGCACCATCTACCTACGCAAACTGTATATGCAATCACATCAAACACATCATGGTTCTTGATCTGTTTTCCGCAAAAGCTGGAAAATTCTTATTCTTGATCGAGCTTTTGTAGATTGGTATTACCTGATAGGGCCGATAGTAATACAATATATTGACATGATAATATCTTGAAATTTCATGGCAGCTTCGCTGGAGCATTCAAGCAATGAGAGGATGTGACTGGGATCTTCAATAATTTCTAAGATAAGACATGGATTTGTAAAAAACTTATCCATACCTAATATTTATACCAAGCCAATATACTCACATGGTTAAGTAATAATGAGGTAAAAATGCCGATTAATTAACCATAATTACATGATAGAAGATTATGTAAAAGACACATATCATACATCATTGATTTGGCATAAACACCAAGTGTGAGTAAACATATATCCCAAATTTGTTGTCACTTGGAAGAAACTTCAACTCAACTTGAATGATATACCCTTGGAATTCTGCTGAGGGTAGTACACAGTTTTATGTCAAGAAGCATCTTTTATTTGGAAGCTCATATAAAATAAAACCATTTTTCACCTAGGGAATTGGACAAGGTATCATGCAATGAAGGATGTAAAACACATTTTGATGCAAGAACATGAAATATAAGAATAATCTAAAATTTCTATTATTTCATGCCTCTAAACTTCCAAGCCAATTAGCAGGTGTAGCTACAGGTTCAGCAAAGCCACCATTAGACTAGTTATAGTGGAAACTGATCAAGTAAAGACTAGCCTCCATTATGAGGAAAAAAAATATAGAAATCACCATTGAAGAACAATGGGAAGTGGCAGCAAAAAAGTGAGTTTGCATTGATTTGAGAGCTGAACCATGAATAAGGCTAGTTATCTACATGGTGAATTTACAAGAGCCAAGAAAATAAGTGTTGATAATACATGGTCTACATCGGTACTAATGCCAGAATTTGGTTTCTGATTATTCCCATGCACTGCTGTATTTCCGCATAGATTGGAAAGTTCTGTGAGCAACAGGGTTGTAAGCTTGCTACAGCGGAATCCAGTACTTTTGCTACATCAGCTGGTGGGAACTGTCGCTCCGAACACTTCTGCAATCGTGTACAACATATAATCAAGTTATGTCAAGCATAATGATGGGAACACCAGAGCTATGAACTGAATAAGCAAAGTGAAGTATGGCTTTAGGAGATATCATGTCATATTCTTCCATAAAACACTTTGGTCAATTTTTTCTTCGGACTTAACTAGCAAGAAATATACATCTCTAACATATTGACGTGAGACTTAACAAAATGCAGGTTATATCAATGTTTTTATTATACTAGAGATCATGTTTAAGCAACAGCGAGAGACTATAGACCTTTTCCTTTTCCTTCTAATTTCTAACATATCCTCCTCCAAGGCTATCTAGCAATCTTTATGGAATAAAACTTGGTGAGGGAAGAGGAATTGCCCCTTCATCCATTGATCTTTATTGAGTCTCTCCTCCCGTTATTTTTCAGTGATCCAAAATCACAACACATAGTCGACTTAGCTTGATAAAAATAATTTTGTAATCCAACTTGAGAAGCACAAGAAGCATCTCTCTGAGGAACATCTTACGTCAATGGAAAAAAGAGGCAACCCAACATGGAAATCCAAAGTCCAGTAAAGGACAGAAAGTGAAAGGTAATCCAAGCAAAGGTAATTTCCATCCCCTACGTTCTAAAGCAATACTCTTATGATAAAAGCCAGCCCAAAGAAACAGAAAAAATCGTATTTACCTGAATCATAAGCAAAGTAGCGACGCATTTAGTAATAAGTTCTGAAGGAACTTCTGCTTCATTTTTATCTGACATATTCTTTGACTTAGGATCAGTAGGTTGCTGCAACAGATCAATGCACTAAAAGTCAATTGATAGGAGAAGCAAAATAGCCACTAAGCGAACATGAGCTGGTAAAAGATCTCACAGTTGGCATGCAAGAATCATCTAGTGGAATCCGATCATTCACATAACCAATAGCCTCCTCAATCTTTTCAGTGGTGTTGTCTCTATCAGTAAGTGAAAGCATCGCCTACACAGACAAGTTAATCAGTACCAAAGAGAATCTACAGCAACATGCAGAAGATAATGACAAGGTCACAAACATGACTGAAGAAACATAAAGAAAAGGTAGGATGCAATGCACGATCATAAATTTTCCAGTGACGCAAGACTCTGGTGGTATTGAATTGATAAAATCAAATCCAAACAGATTACAGGTTGTCATATTATTTAACTTAGTTAGAAACTAGAAAGGTTTTAAATGAACTTAATATCGATAGCTTTCAAAAGAGTGTTTCAAAGAAGTTACTACACGTCCAATTTTTGTCTCTAAACTTTCATTCCTGATGTATTTCTCGAAGAATTTTGATTCGGTTATATATCGAAATGAAAAAATTACAACCTTTATGCAAAAGTATATACTATAATTTTTCAATGGAGTCAAAGGGCCCAAAAGTTCTAAGAAGCCTCCAACAAAGAATTATTTTATTTTAAAAATGCTAAAGCAGAAATCACCTGGTAACAGGATAAGTATTAGAGATCCAGAGAATGTGCAGTTATGCAAAACCATATTAAGAAATATTGAGGACACCAAAGCCCTAAAGAGCATATAGGTAAAACCCAGGAATTAGTGCCTTGTAAAGAAGTTTCTCCTCTCACTCAGATAAAAGAGGGACAAAAACAGGTACTTCCATGAAATTTCATTTATACTGATTAAACAATAAACAGCATTATTACTATTTGTGCAGTTTGTTATGTTGTAAATGCTATTACTGAAGAGCAAATGGACAATTGCATCTTTTGAAGAAACACGTTCGAATATTTGCCAATCTGCTGAGGTGGATTCAGGAATAAATCGACCTGGCAACCATGTGAATGAGGTTTCTGAAGAAACTAATAAATATTGACATGGTATGCTTAATCATAACCCACTTTCGAATTGTTTCAAACATTATCTTATAACCGATTTGGGTCACACAACCAATCCTCTTAGAAAGAATTCGAACAGAAATAAAAGTTGAATGAATGTATACCTGCACTGCTGCATCTACCATAGTCCGGGCTTTGATTTTTGAACTTTCTATTATCTCATTGACAAGGAACCCTGATTCTTGCGGCTGACTTGTACAACGATCAAAAGTGCTCAACGTACTAGGAACAGCAAAATTTGGAACTGGCCTTGGGAATGCGAGTGGAATGCTTCCCTGATAGGTATTCCGCTGTCTCAAGCGATATAGAGCAGAAGAAACCTGCCAAAACAAATGAATACTATAGGAAACTTTGTGCACTTTCAAAATTTCAAATTCTAATATGAGGATAGACAGACCTCCTCATTGACCTCATTTAACTGTATTAGCATGGCAGCATATTGCTTCTTGAAAGGCTCTGAGTCCTTAAGAGAACAATCATTGCTCTTTTGGTTTTCCAACACATCATCATTCATGCGCCTCAACTCTGAAACCACTGCTTCCTACACGTTCAACCAAATGTCATGAGCTCGCTGCACATCTGGCACAAAATATGCTTGCCTTTTGTATATCTAAGATCAACTAGAAAAATGCATCTACTGACACAAATTCCTTAAGACATACATTGAAATACAAGAACAGCCAACTACTTAACAGTGAACTTAAAAATAAAATACGAGAAGCAGTACAGCTCTAAAATAGAAGAAACTAGTCATCAATATGGTAGCAGCAACTGCTCAAACTAGCTCACCTCTATCTTAGATATTCCCCATCCATCCTAAACAAAAAAGTAAACGCATCTTTTCTTAACACCAAATACAAGCTTAATGAATACTTCTACAATTTTAGATTCAATTTTTAGATGTACATATGCCCATAATAAGTTCTACAAAACTTCTTCAGCCTTCGTTTAAAAAGTAAATAGAGCTTTAACCGGCCAGTGAATGAAAGCTTACCCCTTCAACAAATCTTCTTCTTCTTCTTTTTACGTAAGTAAACCATTTCAGATTCAATAAAGAAAGCTATTCTCCCTTATTAGCTTATATTGGTATTTTGAACATGAACTTCAACAAGTTTTATTCATAAAGGTATTTTATTGGTTAAATAAAAAGAAAACTTACTGCTGAATTGTGCGACCATCTCATCTAATAGCTTTAACTTTAACTTCTAGAAAGGAAACACAAACATTTATTTATTATAGGTTTGCAACATGCTCCCTGACATGCAGGCTTGATTCGTCTACTTGAGCTAACCACATGGAAATACTTTTGACTTTGAGTGATACTGAGCCTCGAATCTCTTGTTATGCTTATATGTTAAATTATGTGACCACCTCATTTAAAAGCTTAAGTTGGAGAGTAAATATGCTTCTTTAGGTCCACAACACTTACATAAGCAGACAAAGATACAAGCATATATATATATATCGGAAACAGCCTCTCTACCCCGGGTGACCTCCCCAAACCCCACTTGTGGGATTTTACTGGGTTGTTGTTGTTGTTGTTGTGTTTTTATATCTATATATATAGCTAGAGAGAGATATCTAGCTTTCATTCATTAAGTAAAAAATAAATTTAAGTTTTGTAACCTTTTTGTCTAGGGCACGGGCCAACTCAGCAAGAGCTTGAACATCAGCTTCCTTTGCTTGAATCTGAGCGACCCCAGAAGACTTTGAATATGCTGTCGATTGATATGTGGCAGTTTCCACGACTCCAGATCTAGATTGCATATCCACTTCTGCTGAAGCCACCTAACCATCAACGTACTCATATATTATGTGGAAGGACAAGTGAGAAGCATAAAAAACTACCCACTCTTCTTAATTATGTGAAAACAATACAAGGGAGTTACAATCAAAACTCTAAGGGGTCGTTTGATTGGGAAACAAGTTGTCCCAAGATTAATTATCCCGGGATTAGATATCCTGGGATTGTTATCTCACCCTCCCATAAGGATAAAAATAACACTACAATCCGGGGATAAAATAACACTACAATCCGGGGATAACTAATCCCAGGACTAAATTATACAACAATTTTATCCCAACCAAACATGGGATAAACTCATCTCAAATTTAATCTCGAGAATAATGAAGAATTAACCCAAACGAGCCCTAAAGGGACTACTCAAGGTAAATATTAATAAAGTACTACAGAGATTTTGAGATCGGGAGTACAGTTGGTAATCATGAGATCTACTAACTCCCAAGTTCAGTGTCGGTTTCCATTCTCAGGTAAACAGAATTAAGGTTCAACTAAATCAAAAGGCTTAGAAATGCACAATTTCTGTTACGTGGCCTACTTTTGTGTGGGTTTTCGCCTCAATTAACAAAGATTTAGGAAAACAAGGGCAGGTAATCATTGAATTAAAATAGAAATACTATCAAATACTCCCTTTGTTCAAGTTTACGTGAACCTATTTCCTTTTTGGTCCGTTCCAAAAGGAATGACCCCTTTCTAAATTTGAAAAAAAAAATTAGCTTAAACTTCCAATTCTACCCTTAATGAGAAGCTTTTATAACCACATAAATATTCTGGACCCCTTTTTGACTTGGTTAGGACCACAAATTCTAAAAGTCTTCATTTTTTCTTAAACTCTGTGCCCAGTCAAACAGATTCACATAAATTGGAACGGAGGGAGCAAGTTTTTTTGGTTAAAAACCTAAGTTCAACTAAGAATAGTTTGACGGCTAAATGTCATAATTTTAACCCCTAAAAGTCAACTTAGAATAGTTAATTTGAAAAAATACTATATAATGAGGTACGAAAAGTTAAATGACAGTTGCCTGTATTCTTCCTGCTTTTAACCTTTTTCTCTTTCTTACAAACTATAATGTTACATTTGATCCTGCAGTTTTCCATTCACCAAAAACAAATACAAACATCTATTTTGGACAGAAGTACATAGATGCATTGATTGAATACTGAAGTATGTGATATAAAAATCTTGAAGGGGAGATTTGGAGAAGAGGAATAACTGCATGAGGAAAGAAGCATCTCACAGGGCATAAACTTAAAAAGGAAACACGACATAATTGTTTTCCCCGCCCCATCCGACCCCAACATGACATAATTTTGATTAGGAATCGGATGAGTAAAGTTCTCTCACATTAGTTTGTTTGACCAAAGGCTACGTCAGCCAATCTTAATAATTCAAGCTAGGCTTTAAGTGGAATCTCTACTAGGACTTCACCCACTTAAAGGTACAAGCCAAAACAGAAAACACAGTACATAGATTACAAAACACTCCATAAGCTAGAAGAATCAAAAGGCAACTGCTTCCAGGGATGAGCATAGATACAACCATACCCTGCTTCATTGCACCTACTAATCTAAGTTCATAGCTCTTACAAAAAATTTGTTAGATTTTGTACGGAAAGAGTCAATCCTTCACTTAGGCCTCATTTGTTTGCACTTAATGGAGGTCTGAATCTTGATCATTCAGATCTCAGACATTAAGTGCATTTGCTTTTAAAGTCTGAATCTTAATCATTCAGATCTTAATCATTAAGTGTGTTTGTTTTTTTACTTCACAACCATTTAATGGGTCTGAATAGGTATGTATGATTAAGATCTATAACATAGACTTAATTTCATTAAGATGCGCATCCACATTCATTACTAACTGCCGTCACCGCCTTCCATTATCAACTACCACCACCACCACCATACTCAACCACCACCACTACACCATACTTGACCATAGCCGCCACCACTACCACCATCCACCACCACCACCACCACCACCATACTCAATCATAGCCGCCACTACTACCACCATCCACCACCACTCACCACCACCCACCACCATACATAGCCGCCACCATTACCACCACCCCCACTACCATCATCCTCAACCACAACCACACACTCACCCACTTCAACTACTACAACCAACCATCCCATCACCATCAACAATCATAGCCGGCACTGCCCACCATTATAAACTACCACAATCATCACCTTCCTCAATCACAACCACAACCACAACCACCACTACCACCCACTATTATTAACTATCACCACCCACCACCCACCACCCACCACCCACCATCATCAACCATAGTCGCCATCGCTACCAATCACCACTAGCTACTACCTAGAACTACCACCATCAACCAAAACCACCACCACCTCTAGTCGGCATTCACAAGCACCTCCTTTAGCTATCACCACCACCAACTACCATATTTTAAAAACGATATATATTTTATTGATAGAATATTAGATTAATTAGTATTTTATATGAATTTTATATTTATTAATTTTTAAATAAAGATAAATTTTATATATTCAGATGGTAAAAAGGCAAACAGTCTTTATCATTTAGTATTCAGATCTTAATACACATCTTAATATCCAGATGTGTATCCAGATCCAAATATCTTAATCTTAATACACATTTCGATATTCAGAGATGTATTCAGATTCAGACGTCTTAATATTTTAAAAAAACAAATGAGGCCTTAAGGTATTTTCCCCTGATAAGTAATTATTCACTAATGTTCTCCCAAGTTACAGCAAAAGGCGGAAAATGCTCGGGGAGGTCATAATTATTTTGGTTGGGAATTGGATGCGACAGATTGCAAAATCTTGTTTAATATGATGTCTTGAAAAGAATCAATAGTTTGGACAAAACTATGGCCATGCAGGAGAGTTTCTCAGTTTTTAAACCAGGGTGCTTGAGAATCTTTGAATCCGAAAAATACGAAATATAAAAGGTATCTAAGAGAGTATGAGGAGAACCACTGACCTTTGTCTGCTTTAGGAGATCACTGATAGGATGACTTGGTGGGGAGAAATGAGAGAAAACATTTCCATTCTCCATGTTGTCACAGGCCGGAAATTTCATATACTCATTTGCTCGTGCGTTCACCTTGAGCTCATTAAAACTCTCAAAAAACTTGTCAACAGCATCTGCACGCCTTGTAAGTAGTGTGGGCATGTTTTCAAATGGATTTAGAGGCATACAGTCAATGTCCTGCCAGAGCAAATGTTTCAACAATTTATCAGGTCCAGAAAGCAAGAAAGCAACCACTGGAGAACCAGAACACAAAAAACTAAAATGCCGATCTTTTTCACAGGTACTGATTACTAACTCATACACACAACCTGTTATGAACCAAGTACAGAAGCCAGTTACAAGGAAACATAAGCTTTGTCTTCCAACAGATAAAAAAGGTTAGACGCATGAGTTCAATACTTCAGCTTGGTTCAGTGATCCATTTAATTTTAGTTATATCTTTTTCTTTATCTTGCTTTCAGAAGTATCCTCAGAAGAAAGATATTTTTTCTAGAAAAAAATTTAAAGAAAAATTACAGAGATGGCATCACAGTGTGAGTGCAGATATTTGGGACCTCTTCATGTAACCTAATAATTCTATTCTCCAACATTATGAGATAGCTCTTAAATCCCAAACTAGCTGAAATTGGCTATATGAATCCTCTATATATGTCTGCTCTAATCAAGCACACTTCATTCTGATACTAAATATGAGTCTTAGAAAAGGCAAATAAGGGGTTTTCAAGACTAAAGATTCTTTAAGTCTCAGGTAACCTTATATGGACATATAATCTCTAACCACAGTAGACCTATTGTCAAACTCTGGACCTACTGGAAGTGTGATAAAACTAAACCTATCCCAACTAGTTGGCATCGCCTATATGGATCCTTTGATTCCATTGTGTTCTATTATTTGGATAAATCGATATTGATTTTGAGAGCTTATAGGGACAGGTGCATATAGGGGTCTATGCAGGACAAGGTCAAACCATCTAAAGCGACCTCCTCGCATCCATCCATTGCGTCTACTACTCACACCATCATAATTATTTCTAATCTTCTCCAATTTAAGGTGACCTAAGAAAAACTAAAGTTTAACATACCAGAATATCACATGAGCATATATTAAGACATACTAATGAATTACCATGACAAATTCAACCCCGAGCTCAGGTCGGTCAAACTGAACACGACATCTTGAGCGATCAACTGTCAGTACACTTCCATCATGAATCTCTCTTGTTTTTGGATGGATTGCAATGACACGTTGCCCAACTGACAATGGCCTTGCAAGATCTGTGGGTAGTCCTTCCCTGGTACCTTCACGAAGTTCAGTGTAATGTGTTCTGACAGATTCCCGGTATTGATTAAGCTTCTCCTTTTCTTCATTCAGAAATTGCTCAGAGAATCGCCGTGGTTTTCCGAGAGAACTAAATCAAGTTGCGGATTGAATGGACCATCATTAACATAAAAAAAACAAGCTTAATGTTCAGAACTTGCTCAGGGAATAGAGTGACTTCCAATTTGCAGGAAAGTTGAGAAGCATACCTTCTTATGACACCCCATTCAACACGAGTTAACCTTGGAACATGTCCCAATCCAACATGATTCAGGTACTCCACAAAATCCCTTTTGGCAAACCAAGGGTAGTCAATTGCACTGTAGAACCACTCATACGTACACCATCTTCGTACCTGATGGTTAGAAAGGCAATTGGAAATCTTTTCCTGCATGCAATGTATGCAAGTTAACTAGTGCTCATATCACGAGAAAGCGCTGCAACATGGCCAAAGGTGCATAACCAACCTTAAGACTGAATGCTCTGTCATGAAGTGCAGTGAAGGAAGCACTAGTATCATCCAAACTTTTATCAGGAATTTTCAAATCTTTTTGTCTTTGAGGTTTTTTCAGGTCCATCTTACGCCTGCTTCTAACTTTAGTAGGTAAGTTAACCTGGTTTGCCACAGGGATCTCTGCAGTTGATTGAGCTGAATCACTTCGTTCTGTTCTTGGATCTGCACATGATGAAGGCTCTTGATCTTTGATTAATTTCGGGGATGCACTCTGATAGGATCTTTTACCCTTATTGGTTGACTTCTTTGATGCTTCTTTTGCCTATAGGAGAAAAAACCACGTGAAACTAGTTTAGTGCAGCTGATTAAGGTAGCCAACCTGGCAAAATGTTTAAAGGAATGGCTCAAACATCTGTCTAAACCTCTAAACAATCACTTGAAATGGACAAAAATAAGAAATCACCTCAGCTTCCTCAGATCCAGTAACATTATTGTTAACATGACCTTCAGTTTTTCGAGCCTGCAAGATTATTCTCAGAAGGGTTACATATCATTCAACAAATCAGAATATTGAGCAGGGATGCAAAGCTGTCTCCAAATACCTTAGACGACATTGCTTTATGTGCCCTCCTCGCCTGCTTTGGTTCGGGAACAGCAGTAACATCAGTAGATGTAACTTTACCATGCTTTGATTTTGTAGCGGAAACAACTTCAAACTTTGATAAAGGTTGACTCCATCTAGATCTAACCCCCCCAGATCCACGTTTGTCTCTTTGTCTGTTTGCAGGCACGGCCTCCAAGGAGCCAGATTCATCAACATGATCATCAATTTCATCATTGAACTGGATCATGGACTCTGAAAAAAGAAAAAGAAAAGGTTAATCTGATACACTCTTAGTTAATACAGGGAATAACAACTGAAAAATCAAATGGAAATACGTGAACTGATGAAGATACAGGGCAGTCGCATATCCAAAGCTTCAATTGGGAAAGAAAAAGAAAGAAATAGTGAAGGAAAGAACAATTTAAAAGGCCAAATACATAGACGGCCCCTTAAACTTGGTTTGAAATTCCATTATGGCACCTCATCCTTGCGTGGTACCTATTGAACGCCTTATGTTACTCAAAAACTCTGCCGATTAGACATGCTTTACTGACATGGACCAGACGTGTTTCTCACTTGTATTGAGTGTGTGAAATGAGCTTTGACAAATTTAAAATGGGCCCCACTCCTCTAAAACTAGGGAAAACATCACCTTTTTCAATATTTTCTGTGTTTCTCCCCCTTCCTTCTTCCTATTCTTTCTCTTCTTTATCTTCTGATACTTTTTCTTTCACAGATTATAATTTTTCACTAGACACTAATACATGAATAGACAGGCAGCCAAGACGAGTATTTAAGACAGATCAAAGCATAATACAGTCCTGAAGCCAATGCACAAAAGATAAGCTAAATAGAAATCATTGTGCTTAAACAAACTAACTTCGATTAAGTTGAAGTTACCTTTTCTGTAAATAATTCGCAGAAAAAAATGATATCTAAGTACAAATTTTTATTTTTTCATATAAGGTAAAGTTTTATTGATATTCAGTATTAAGGTAATACTGCAGAAAATGACAAAAACTGGACTTGTGTTTACATCACAGACTCATAAAAGTTAACAAGTCCATCAGATCAGACAAATTTAATACATTGTTTCCTTTCAAGCAATAGTACATCTGATATCAAAGTAAAAAAGCAAATTCAAAGCTCTAAAGTTTGAAATAACAGGACAGAATACCTGAAATCATAAAGGTCAAAGTTGCTAAAAGGTTAGGCTAAGACAGAATGTGAAAGGGGGAGACAGAGAGATACTATCAACACCTAGCATATCTGCAGTTGCCAAACAAGCAAGCCTCCATACAAAGATCTATAGAAACAGAATTTTATGTCCTTACCATCTTCATTTTCTGCTGTTGGCATCATCAGAGACAAATCAGCCAACGTTTGTAGAGCATCAAAAGCGGTGCTTTCGTCTACATGAAGGAAAAAGCAAATTAGCAGATACATCTTCTAATTTGGCTCAATGTACCAAGATATATAACAGTTTCTATCGCATAATAACAGGTTTGCAGTCAATTACTTTTCAAAAACAGCATGCTACTTTGCAGTAAATAGCAGAACTCAGAGAAGTAAGGAACAGTATTCTAAATATAACAAACTTGTGCAAATGTAAGTTGCCCAAAACTTGTAATTCTGAGTCCTTCCTTTCTCTGCCTTTTCCTGCCTGTCTATCCTTTTACGGATGAAGTAACTAGCTAATATTAATGTTATGGGGGTAATGTTCTGATCTAATGCCAGCTATAGTAAAGCCTTGAAAGGTGAAAAGCTGGAAAAAGGGAAGAAGTCCCAGCGAATGGCAACTAGAAAGCTTCGCTTACAATAATTATTATGGCACAGAAGGAACCAATACTTTGAAGGTAGACTTGGGAAACTTTGTTTGATGGTTAAGCACTTGGGAAACCTATATATGTTCTCTTTTGTTTCTTATTTTGTTTAACATTCTGAAGTTCCCGGGCCACTTTGAACTTGTTAAAATATTGCAGGAGGGATGTTGTGTCTATTAGTGGAGCAATCCTTGAGTTGTTGCTTCTGTAAACAACTTATATCCTTCAATTTTAGTGGCATGTCAAGAGTACCAGAAGGGCGAGGGGAGGAATGATTTATACCAGACAGGAAAAGAGGGAGGAGGGGTGTAAGGGGATAATATTTGAGGTTAACGTAGCCTCTGCTAAAGAACACAGAGGATGTGATCTAATATACACATTTATATCGAGATTTTAAGAAATGGCCACTGTGATATTTTCTCCCTCCAAGAGAATTACCCCCAGTTGGGCTAGTGCAATGATAACACCTCACGATACTGCTCAGCACTCTTCCCCTCTTAACTAATGGCAGTTGGTTGCATGTTCAGATCCTATTAGGGATTCGACTTTCCTTATTTTCCAAAAGTGGATCTCATTCCCCCTCTTAGCTAATGGCAAAAAGATAAAATAGAATAATCAAAGAGGACCAAATGGAATATTCAAAATCCCGTTAAACCATTCAAAGGCAAAGTTCTCAAGAGCAGTAATCTACAGAACTTTGTAATACCTCTGCTGAAAAGAACTTTTTTGCTCCTCTTTCTAGGGCCTTGTAAAGAGGTCCTTGAATTCTTTTCATATGTGGCCTCCATTTCAAGTTTACCCCTCACAACACCCAATATTTGACCTTCTTCTGTACCGCTACATGCCTCTTTGATATCATCAAAATGATTGGCTCCATTATCATCAATTTCCAACTTTTTACCATAAGATCTTCTTCCCTTCTGTGCTGTTCGACCAAAGGTTCCAGTTTCCACCGAATCATTCTTATACCGCAAAAGCTCTCCAGTGTCCGCTTCCATGCTTCCCTCTTCTTCGTCCACTTCATTACTAAGAAGCTTGGCATTTCCCATACCTATTTTAACACACTAGTCGAGAAAAAGAAAAAGGAAAAAATAAAAAAGGTGAAGTGCTGAGTACATATAGTCTATGGAGATAAGTCACACTAGAAACGATAGTTAAGCAATACATTTCTTTCAGCTGTCTCAACAGGTGAGGACATAGCGCTGTCCGTCCTACGGTTCGGTGTCTGAGAAACCTGAGGAGAGCCAACTCTTTGTGAAGCTTCTGTTAAAACTAATGCTATCTTCACATCATCATCAGTGTCATCTGCCTGTAGTTTCAAACTCTGCCTACTAGGAGAAAAATACTTTTCACCCTTGGGATTTCCACAAGAAAAAGAAACAGGAAAGCGTGGAGTTCTTTTCCCAACAGCACGAGGCCGGCTTCCTGAAAGGCAACTCCAGAGAATCTTCATCAATAATATTACATGAGAAGCCGCAAACCTTAGATAAGTGATAACGGAAGGCAGCTAAACAAAATGAAACCCCAAGAAAAGCTACTACTGCATGTAAGTGCAATGCACTGGTGACAATAAACTGTATGCAAAAATAAAAAGAAAGAGAGTCCTAATCAAGGTCCATCCAGAAGATTTTTAGAGATATTCTATTCTTTGTTTTCACAGGAATAATTCTTCATTTAATTTAATTTATCCCTTTTTGTTGCGGGGGGGTAGAAGGGACAACGCACCTCCTGAACGCTTCTTCTTCAACAAAGTTAAACAACCATGACTAGCTGCTAATGTCGGAGATGTCATCTCAGATGCTTTAGAAATATTAGACTGAACTTTACCCCGAGAACGTTTTTGAGGTTTTCGAGACGTTCCAGCATCCTCATTACTTTCTTGCTCACTGTCGCTTGCTGCCTGACATCCAATAGTCAAGTTACTTCAACAGCAAAATACAAACTAAGACTCAGGTACAAATTTAAACACTAGAACTCAGAAACCATGAACAAATATAAGGGATGGAGTAACATTTAGCAGATAATCACTTTTCTTTAAAAAAAAAAAAGAACTTCTGAACATTAAGGACAATGCTTTGCCACGACCTAATGCATAGAATCACCTTTCCTGATGTTTATTTAATAACAACTTGCAAAGACTTCTCTGTTCAAGACAAACTGCATATTTCAATTGAAGCATTCAAGCAATCCCACACACTGGATGCCACAAAGCTAAAATTCTAGTATCTCATTTGCAAAACTACTCCTTCAGCTTAAAACAAATAAGAAAGCAATAGATAAGTCTGGTGGATGGGGAAAGGAGTGAGGAGGCGTGCACAGATAAAACAAAACATAAGCACACCACATTCCCCATGCTCAAACTCAACATATTTTAAGTCTTACCAAGTTGCAGTAGTGATCAGTCATCATGGCAATCAGCCCAACCACAGATGCAGTCCCCTCTGGAAGAGATAAATAAGCCTGAAAATACAGTAGAATGAAGTAGGTAACGATTTCCATCACCATTTTGTACGATTTAACAATATATTCAATGTTGATTAAGTACTTAGCGTCATTTGTTGTTCTAAAATTAATATCTTATGATAATATAACCACAAAAACAATCATCAAATTGTCTCTGACTTGTTGCTGGCTAAAATCACAAGACCAAGATTTATGATGATGATCTTTTTGATATAGACAATGGTTTTATGATGATTAACATGACACTCCATGTTTTCGATGTAGAACCATGTAAGGCGTAAAAATGACCGCAAGAGAAGTGATTACTCTTTCTAAGTGACATCTTCACCAGGAAATGACAAGTTTTCTATTTCAAGTGCAATGATGGAGTACGGAGGGCTGTTTCACTGTAATAATGCATCAAAAGGCAAATGAACAAATCATTTTACCAACTGGCAATGCAGATTTATGAATCTAAGGGCCAGCTCTGGTGCAAATCTTTCAAGTAATATCAATTACCCACAGGATTACAATGTTTCATATCAGGATCCACAAAAGGAAAATAAAGTAGAACCAAAAACCGAACTAAGCTGGTTAAGATGAGAAGGAGACGCAAAACCAAAAAAAAAAGCAGAGAAATGGAATCTGGTGACTGCCCAAACTTCAGAGAAAGAGAGAGAAGAATAGGTAAGTTACGGTAAGGAAACTCAATCAATGATAAAAGTGTTAAATTCTTACTAACAACAGACTAGAAATGTCATACATATTAAAGGAAGAAAAGAAACAGAATGTAAGTGTCATATTATTCCTAGCTGGTATGGGATATCCTCATGCAAAAGCTGGGAACTATCCACTTTCTTTTTAACACAATCCTTCTCCTTTGACAGCGGCGGCATTTTACAAGGTATAAAACAGAAAATATGTGTATGAAAGTGCTTGATTACGTGATAATCTCACAGTACTCAGGGAACCCTACTGTTGGAGGTTTGAAATCTATGCAGCTGGTGAGTAGAAAACAACAAATCGTGAGTACACACTTGACTATCTGATTATGTACAGAGCACTCATCGAGATAGGAGACTGCAGCTCATGTTCATAACATCCATAGACGTCTCTGATACAAGCGGTGAAGCACATAACACCATATTAACAATCATGACCATGAAATAGGAAAGACTTAATTATTTCCAAAAGCAAGATAAAGAAACAAAGGCTCTGTGGCCAAAGGCAGGCAATGTAAAATGATTGCCTACAAGAACAAGAGAAACTGAACATCAGATGAATACAACCCCAAAAGTTGACAACCCTAACCAGATGTCACTGTAAAAAGGATTGAATTCATTAGAGTATTGTTCTCCTCAAATAACTTATATTGAATAATAATATTCACAACAACATGAAGCGTTTGAACAAGATTCTGACAAAATGGGTTCTCTCACCATGCTATTAGTATAGATGAATTTAAGTCCAATTATATATTAGCAGGAAAATAGCTTAGAAGATGGATAAGAAAATGAAGAGAAGTATTGGCTATCAAGATACGATGATTTCATAAGCTAAGAGGAATCAATTATAAGGACACATGTTACTTTGTTGTCTGTATTCACAGCCTACCCTATTCATCATGTAAAGAGCTTCCACCATTTCTGAAGTTCGGGGTTTCACTGCAGCAGCAACCTGCGATAAGTGTTAGAGGCAAGGCGTCAGAGATCAATCAACAGCAAAAATATGCAAGTTATCGGGGATATCCAAGAAACTTCAATTAACAAAGACTTTGAATTTGAACTGACCTTTTTCCAATCTTTACCATACTTGCGGTATGCTTGATAGAAGCGTGTCAGGTCTTCCTCACTCCACTCAGGACCAAGCATGTCGGACAACTTCCTCTTCTACAATTTGAACAAAGAACCATGTCAAAATGCTTATATAATGTCCTCCACGTGTCTTCAAAGAATACTTAACGACTAACCTAAATGAATACATGAAATATTTCTCCTTTGCAACTCAAGATATTACAACTTTCCTAAAGAACAATTTGGTTGACAAGAACAGGAAAGGTAAGTGCTGGCAAATTTTAACTTTCCTGCATATTCTCCGTGTTTAGTAAGAGGAAATTTGTGGGAAAAGCTTTGAAACTTTCCCACATAACAAACTTGCATCCAAATAATGTGATGAAAGAACTACAGTATCTTTTAAAGAAAGTTGAAAGTTAGGAACAAATATCTTCTCATTCCAAATTTTCCTTTTTCCTTCAAAGAAAAACACGCAGGAAATATCTTCACTTCACTACATTTGTAGCAACTTCTTGACATTCTTGGCAAAGCCATTCATCTTTTTCCTTGCACTATCTATCTCTTTCAATTTTCCACTATGGAAAAGGTAACATGCACCATCCTGTGCTATAAACAAGTACCACTTCCCAAAACAAAAACAAAAAAAAGAAAAGAATAAGAACATGCTGTCATTTCCAAGAAGATACTAGTTCATCCTATGTGCATGTTCCAAAAGCAAACAAAACCAAAACAGTACTCACTTACATGCCTCTTCGTGTAATATTACAAGAGCAAACAAAAGTACAGTAAAACTCACCCGCAAGTTTTTCTTCGCACTGTCATCTTTACTGGGAGAGATTTCAGTTGTAGGAGAAAACCGCTTATTTACACTTCTAGATTTTCTTGCTGGAGCCATGCCTAAAATCTTGGGAAACCTCGGCAGGATCAGGCAAGCACAATGTAAGATTCTATTTTTTGACAGTTAAATGTTTAGGAAAGTGATAAAATACATTGGTAATATACATGATTCTAACATGTAAGCACCAAACTATAGTTTCATCAAAATAAAAATCCATTGCATAGTTACTTGATTAATATATATAAATAGATGGCAGATTTTATATAAGCGAACAAGTGGCTTATTAGCATATAGTAACTTCTTTCCCTTCGAAACTCACATCTGTGGTCCTTTTAATGGTTATCAAAGATATGCATGAAATAATTTGTATTAACATATATAAATTGTATTAAGTACTTGTAATGCGTTTCCATAGGTTCAAACAGCATCTTCTATATAAATTTCTGAGCTTCCGCACAAAAAAATTTTAAAAAAACATTCCCTACTTGGATGTACCAAGTAAATCCAGCAAATATATGGAATTATGCTTACCAATAATTCCTATTGATAAATTTTGTGCAACAAATTTACAAGATACACTAACAGAAAATAATTATGACGATCTGATAAACTTCTAGAAAGACCCACAAAGAAAAGATCAAAACTTTGAAATTCATAGTTGAAACCCCTATTTTTTGCACCAATTCGTTGAAAAATAAAATCATACAGAAAGAAAAAGTGAGTTGATTTACCAATTGAAACTGATTCAGCTTCTCAATCAAATCTCAGAACCATGAGCTGCGATACAGATGAGAGAAATTCGTTAGGTTAATTTTGAATAAACTTGCGGCAGATAAAATGGGGGAGAAGATGATTGAAAATATTTGGGGGTAATAGCCGCGAAACTCTTTTGTATTTGTATTTTTTATGGGGAAGAAATTGGTTTATATATTATTCTTTCTCTTTTTGAATTGAAACTTAAAAATGACTTTTTTCTTTTTCTGATTCAAGGTTTGTTAATGTTTAAATAGGATACTGAAATTATTGGAATACACAATAAGCGAACGAGTTTTAGAATTTAAATTAGAAACAACGTTAAGGGTCAAAAATGCCCTCCACTATTGAATATTGTTTAAAACTACCATCCGTCATATTAATCAAGCAAAAATATCTCTACCGTCTTACTATTGAACAAAAATACCCCTATCTTAACGGAGGTGCCACGTGACAGCAATCTGATAGAATTGGTCCAATCGATTTTTTTCTTTTAAATTTACCTGACCCAATACCCTTAAACCCTTCTAAAAAAGGACCTATAAATGACATCCGGCTAAACAATACCAAAACTAAACATAAAAAGTGGTGAACTTCACCCTTAACACCAGAAATTACCGCCGGCAACCAAATACATTACATTCCTACAACCAATCCCTACACACAACAAACATAACACATGCTTAGTACTAGAATCGTCGTCGGCAGCTAAACGCATTTACTCATAAGCCTTACATCTAGCATTCTTCTAAATCGCCTCCGACAACCAACAAATCGGGAGAAAAAAGTAATCCAAATGAAGACGTGGATCGAGAGGTCTCTTCCCGTTGCTTGGATACCGACATCTCAGATTTCAGTTCGTTTTAACTATGGGAAGTCCTTCAAAATGCTCTGAATCTTGTTGCTCGTGAACAGAAACTCCGACGAGCCTCATCCGATTGTTCTAGCAAATTTTCTCCATTAAGATTCTTCCCCAGTTCAGATTCCCCACTTTGTGAAAGCTCATATCATTTCACTGTTTCAGATTCCATGAATCTAAGAAAATAAAATTCGGCAAACTTGACATCGGCGGGCGTGGAAGTTCCGCCCATTCTCCGCCAAAGTTTGCTATTAAGTGAAAACATTGTGACATGAGTAGAAGATGAGAAAATTTGTTTAGGGTTTTCGTCTGTGTTTGAGGGAGAACCAACCTTTCCGTATATCTGTGAAAGAAGAAAAATGACCCGATGGATCTTACAAGAAGCAGTTCATTCTATTTATAGTTTGGGCCTTGACCCACTAACCTGAAAACTTACAAAAATAGCCGAACTATAAAATGGCCCACATGTACAAATTAAATAAATATTTACAGTACTAAACACACTATAATACTATTTATGCTTTGGCTTAGAAGCAAAATACTCCATTAGCTCAACACACACACCCCCCCCCTCCCCAAGTTGGAGGGGGAAACCACCTTCAACTTGGTCAAGAAATGTTGATGAAGAGCACTAGGGAGAGGCTTAGTAAGAACATCAGCCAACTAATTAGAAGTGGACACATGAGAAAGGTGAATCACACAATCATGAAGCTTGGTCCGGATAAAATGGCAATCCACTTCTATATGCTTGGTCCGTTCATGAAAAATAGGATTTCTGGCAATGTGCAAAGCAGCCTGATTATCACAAAAAATAGAAATAGGAAGTGAAACAGTTAGACCAAAATCAGATAGCAGTCTAGAAAACCAAGTGAGCTCAGCCACAACTTTACTTAGAGCCCGGTATTCAGCCTCAGCAGAAAACAGGGAAACAACCGGTTGCTTTTTGGATTTCCAGCTAATGAGACAACCACTCAAAATAACACAAAACCCTGTGACAGATCTGCGAGTGTCAGGGCAGGTAGCCCAGTCACTGTCTGAATATGCATGTATAGAAAAATCAGGAGAAGAAGAGTAAAACAACCCCAAATCAACAGACCCTTGAGATATCTCAACACGTGGAGTGCAGCAGTCATGTGGGGAACTCGGGGACTCTTCAAAAATTGACTCAAGTGTTGTACAGCAAAGCATATGTCAGGTCGAGTGTGAGTAAGGAAAAGAAGTTTGCCCACTAGACTCCTATACTGATCAGGGAAAGGTAAAAGGTCACCAACATCTGCATGCAACTTACAATTGAGCTCTAAAGGACATACAATAGGGGAAACATCAGTGCACTCAAACTGCTGAAGTAAATCAGAAACAAACTTCTTCTGGTTGAGTAGAACCCCACCAGGAACAGAAGAAACCTCAATACCCAAAAAATAGTGCAAGGAGCCCAAGTCCTTGATTTTAAATTGGGCATCCAAGAAATGCTTTAGAGCAAAAATTTCAGCAATATCATCCCAGTAATGATGATGTCATCGACATAGACTGCTAAAAGAACTAGGTTGCCATGAGCACCCTTGATGAACAAGGAATAGTCATTGAGTGAGTGATTATAGCCCCTGGAGTAGAGAGCTTGGAACAACTTGGCGTACCACTGCCTTGATGCCTATCTTAAACCATAGAGAGACTTCCTCAATTTGCACACAAGAGGGGCAGAACTAGAAGGAACATTAATAGTCAAACCCTGTGGTAACTTCATGTAGACTTCATCATCTAGATCACCATGAAGAAAAACATTGTTCACATCCAATTGAGAAAGAGACCAACCATGCTTGATAGCTACAGCTATTAGGCATTTAACAGTGGACATTTTGATGATAGGAGAAAAAGTTTCCGTGAAGTCAACACCCTCAACTTGAGTATCCCCCCTAATGACAAGCCTAGCTTTGTACCTCTCCACACTCTCATCAGCTTTGTACTTAATTTTGTAAACCCACTTGCAACCTATAGGTTTCTTACCAGAAGGCAAGGGTACAATGTCCCAAGTGTGATTAGCATCCAGGGCATCAAATTCCTTTCTCATGGCATCCTGCCAGGCTGGAACTGAGGAGGCTTGAGAGTAACTGGAAGGTTCAGTGAATATAGGTGGTACAGAAGAAGAGCCAGAAAAGGAAGGGAGTTGGCAAACATAATCCTTCAAGTAAGAAGGAGTAGTGTGCTGCCTGGAGGATTTTCTAAGAGCTGGAGGATTAGGAGATGAAGGAGGAGGCACATTCTGATGAAAAGGATGGAAAGGAGAATGCATAGGAGGAGGGATATCAGAATTGGGTGAAGAGACAATAGAGTCAGGAGAAGAGGGAGGAATGAGAGGAGGAGATGAAGGAGGAGATGAAGGAGGAATTGGAGGAGGAAAAGGTATAGGGTCCTGATACATGGCAGAAGAGGAGAGAGGAGAAGTTAAAGGGGAAGGAACAGAAGGAATAGGAATAGCAAAGGGGAAACAAGTTTCATGGAAAATGACATCTCCAGAGACAAGATTTCTTAGTGTTTAGATTGTAGAGCTTGTATCCCTTTTTAGCAAAGGGATATCCCAGGAACACACATAGAATGGCCCTAAGTTGTAGCTTGTCTCTTTGAGGAATAGGGACAGTGGCATAAGCTAGACAACCAAAGGTCCTTAAGTGGGAGTAATTGGGAGGTTGCCCATATAGGATCTCATAAGGTGACCTGTTTTTAAGGATTCTAGATGGGATTCTGTTCAACAAGTATGTAGCAGTTAAAAGACGATCTCCCCAAAAAGTGATAGGTAGTTTAGATTGAAACAATAAAGCTCTACATGCTTCAAGAAGAGTTCTATGTTTTCTTTCAACAACCCCATTTTTATTGTGGGGTGTGTGGACAGGTAGTTTGGTGAATGATACCAAGTTGACTGAAAAAGGAAGAACCAGCAATGCTTGAGCCCATTTCCAAAGCATTATCACTTCTAATAATTTGGACCTGTGCATTAAATTGGGTTTGGACCATGGCTAAGAAGGCTTTGATCATGGGAAAGCATTACTTTTTATCCTAATAAATGAGTCCAGGTGGCCCTTTAAAAATCATCAATAATGTTAAGAAAATACCTTGAACTAGAGGAAGTAGGTATAGGATATGGACCCCATGTATCAACATGAATCAATTGAAAAGGTCTGGTTGTACTAATTGAACTATCAGGGAAATGGAGTCTAGTTTGTCTAGCCATAGGACAGACAGAACAAGGAAATGACTGCCTAGAAGAAAGAGAAGAAGACAAAACAGGAATATGTTTCATATTTGCAAAAGAAATGTGTGCCAATCTTTGATGCCAAATCAGGTTCATATCATTCATAGCAGCATTATTACACAAGGGTGAACTAGTACCGGAAACATCATTAGAACTAGAAAGAGAAACAAGTTTGCAAGGTGCAACTACATCCTTAGGACTAGAAATAGAAACAGTGCTGCATGAATTTGAAGTAGAAGAAATTGAAGAATCTGATGGTTTCACCCAAGTGAACTTGTACAGGCCATCCTCCTCTTTACCAAGATCCAGAGGCATCTTCAGAGAAGGGGCCTGTAACATGTGCAACAAACAAGAAGTAGCAGTGAACAACACTATGCAATGTAGTTGTTTGATTAGTTTATGAACAGAAATTAAATTGTGTTGGAATGAAGGGACAAACAACACATTGTGAAGTGTGATTGATGGAGTTAAAGCAAATGAACCAGTAGAGGTCACCTTCACTTTGTATCCATTAGGAAGGGTTACAAGGTAGGGGATAGTTAAAGGTGTAATATCAAAAAGTAATTCTTTATTAAAAGTCATGTGATCAGAAGCTCCTGAATCTATTATCCAGGAGACAGAATGAATTTGAGTAAGCAAGCAAAGTTTAGAATCAGAAACTGGACTGTTAGTTAATAGAGTACCAGCAAAATTGGCAGAGCACATGAGACTTCTTGAGAATTGGAAGCATCTCCCACTTGAGAGTGTTGTAACAGATTGATCAGTTGATCATACTGTTGCTTGCTCAGACCTGGGATAATGGACCCCTGACCATCAACATTGGAAACAGGATTGGTTGATTCATCTAAAATCCTAGCAGATTCACCATCAGAATTAGTTTGTGCTGTAGTAGATACATGAGTTGCAGCCTTCTTACCCTTGTTAAACTTTGGACTTTGTGGATACCAATGGAGTTTATAGCACTTGTCAACCAAATGTCCAGATTTCTTGCAGTATTTACAGAATAAAGGTGCTCTATTCTGATCAAAGTTAATTCTTGGCGCATAAGGTCTGGGAGAGGAGAATTGGGAG